GGCGGGGACCGCTGATCCAACAAGGGCTACCAACCATGTCACAAACAGACAGGAAACCGGACAGTAGCCCACGCCGCGGAAGTGACCGTGTTTTTATCGGCTGAACAGTTTTTTTTGGAATTCTCCACGTCCATCTCCAGTGAACTTCTATTTGACCTACGCACAATTCTTTTCTTCCTCCAACGATGCTGTTGAGTACATCTCTTCTTCCATGTCCGTATGCCTCACACAGGCAGCTGTTTGCAGCTTGCTCACCTGAGAGAACACAAGATACTCGAAAGAGACCGTGCGACCGTTTCAAGCTTAGCAAGTATCATCAGCCAGCCAAAACTACCGGATCGACCGGGGAAATACAGAAAACAGTAGCAGCAGACCGGTGGACCTACCGAGTTGAGGGTGGCCAGAGAGGTCTCGAAGGTGTTCATGAAGATGATAATCTCGAGTTTTGCGCTCAAACGTTGCACCTTACAGAGGTGCAGCAGTAAACGGTCCTCGTCTGTAAGTTCCTCCAACGACTGGCTGTCGGTGAATTCGTAGTTCAGGTACATCTTGGCTTCCTCCGGCGTTGGCAGCTGGTGCAGGATTCGATCAGCCACGTCGAGGCTCACATCCAGGTTGGTGATGCCCTGCCACAGTTTGTCCAGAGTGAACTTCTCTGATTCCAGATACCGATTTAAGATGCTGATACATCTGCAGAAAGAAAGAAGGAAATAAATGAGGGCAGAGGGGTTCATCAAACAGCAGCAGTTGTCTATTTTACTGAATTTTATTCATTCAACTCTCCGAGAACAGTAAATGATCTAGCTCCATGAATCTCAAGGCTAACATTTTAGTGAGTACTCTAGCGCACATTTGACCTTCAAATTTTCATGTGTTGAGTTAATTTGATGGTCAGGAAATCTTTCAATAAATCCCTTCTGGGACTAGAAAATGGGATCTTAAGTTAGGGCGATCAGGTAGAAGGAAGTGTAAGAAATCGCATGGTATGCCAGAAACAAGGAACAAATTCAGTTAAAAAAAAATCACGCAAAAGACATGACAAAAGTGGACTTGGTAGTTAAGCATACATTTTGTGATCTAATGAGTGGATTCAATCCTTAGAAAGTATATGTAGTAATGCCTATTGAGGGTAAAAGGCATTAATTTTGGCGAAATCGGTGGTAGCTTGATCAAAATCAAGTGAAGCCAAGTTTAAGGAGTCTTACCGTTTCTCAGAAACAAGGAACGACTTCAGTTTTACAAATGACTGTTTGTCAATGTCCCAAAACGCAGTAAAATATTTAACCGCATTTTGCTTTGCCGCATCAATGATATGGGACGGTAGCCAAAATGACATATATATTATGCCATAGAAAGTTTGAAAGTAATGAAGGAGGAAAGCAATCTTATTAAATCTAAAGCACGTGAAAAGGTACAGTTTTGTATAATATAATTTCTGTTTATGCATAATTTAAAAACGGAACAGACAGCGGATTAAGAATTTTCGCAAAATCTTAGTATATATTTGGGCCACTGTGTTTTTTTAACTGGCAAAAATACAACGGGACCTGAAAGTAATCAACTATGATGAAAAATAATCCAATTTAAAGATAAAGGTGAGTTCCTCCATTTCCAGTCGAAATTGTACCATTCATTTTCAAGTGAATTAAACTACTGAAAATTTTCCATTTTCACTTTAACATTACGTAAGAAGAAGGTAACATACACAGATATTCGTTGACTGGATATCTAATTTGAGTATTTCTTAAAGAGTTTATCTAATATAGAAAGTGCTCTAAATAAAGAAAAAGTCTTGATATAAGGAAAATGGTATGGTTATGATTTCACCTAACGAAAACATACTCAATTTACAGTATTTTTGCTCAGGTATAAATTTGAATCAGACGAAAACGGCAGAATTAATTTGTACAAATAAATTTCGAGAGAGCTTATCAACTGCATCCTCTTTTTGCATGAATGACGTAACAACTGCAGAACACGGCATTTTAATTTTCAGAATCAATAATAGCAGGGTCATTTTAACTCGTCGAATGGTCAATAGTAATGTTACCTTTAAACTTGGGAAAGAAAATAACGGAAGGGAATTAGCAAGAATAAAAAGGTTGAATAAACGTGGCATGCATTTACAAGGGCATTTGGAGATTAGCTACATGGTCTAACTGCTTACATAGGTCGGGTTTCTTCCGCTGTATGCAGGCTGCTTCCATGTAGCGCAAGGTCCGGTTTGTTCGTGCTCGAACAAGAACTCGGAAAAATGTGTTAATGTCAACAGAACCGACTGGCCGGTAGATTTCGGGCGTAACGGGCTGCTGTATTTTTCAATGAGACGTAGGGGGTATCAGAACAACAAGCTGTCCTTCCTAGACGTTCTCTTGCTCGGAGAGGTTGATAATTCAGTAAGGCGCATTTTTTTCCACAAGACTACACGGAAGGGCCATTACCTACATTCTACCAGCTTCGGCCCTACGCAGTGGAAACGAAATCTGGTACTTACACTTTTCCAGAGAGCTAGAAATATTTGCTCCAGTAAGACCCCCCCCGGCAGAGATTGCGTGCATAAAAGAGGCCCTACCCCTTAAGTCTCATTGAAAAATACAGCAGCCTTTTACGGCCGAAATCTACCGACCAGCCGGTTCTGAAAAGGCCCGTTTTTATATCTTTATTCTTTAGGGAGACAATATCTCAAATAAAATTAAACGACGACTACGCTGTTCCATACAGAGAACGTACTATGCAGCCGAACTTGTGGTTATGAATCCACGTGCGCTTGCGGATGCAAGTACATTGGGCAGGAGTTTCCTTGGTAGTGGTCTTGGATACAACAAGCAGTAGGTTGTTTTCATACGGTAACCGTGCGAAGGATTTTTTTAAGTTGATAAAACTGATTTACCAAAGAAGGATTTTGTGAAAATAAGAAAAAAAAGTCGTAAAATTTTGTTGAAATAAT